TCAATTTTGATGGAGTACATAAGCAACAGACTTTTACAGAGGTGTAGCGAGAGTAATGAGCAGCCAGGGGCAATCTCTAAGTTTTCACTGGCCGGCGTTGACTGGAGCCCCCTTAGACTTGCACCCAGGGACAAGTGCCCCCACTATTCCCCCTCCCTCGCTATGCTTCTGGATGTTGACTGCCTAGCACATTCTGTGATTATGGTCTAGCCACCTTACTCAATGGGCTGCATTCGTGGCTTACAGTGAAGAGCAGAGCTTTCTCATCTTTCTACAACAAATGGAATGGTTGTCCTCACATCTGTGAATCTCCTTGAATCTGGTTAGATCCCCTATGGTGTAAGTCCCTAACTACCCCAATACTACAAAGGTTTGCTGATGGAAATGAATATTCTGAAACAAAAAGCTCATGTTTTTTCTTATGTGAATACATTTAAAAACAAAACAAAACGCACTGCAAAAGTCTAGCCACACCAGTCTTACATATATATATCAGGAAGATTTAAGTGAAGTCTTGAATCTGTTAAAAAGCAAACACAAAGGAACAAAACGGTTGCTCCACAGCTATTCAACTCTGCTCCCTGCAGTGTAGCTAGAGATTACACTGAATCCAGGGCACACTTTAAAACCATTTACCTCCAGTGACTTAAAAAATAACAAGATTCATCAATAACAAAGTTTGAAAAAATCCTTGATTGTCATCTCCCTAGCTTTACATTCCATTATTCTGAGTAACTGGTATGTCTAAAAACACTGTTTCAATTTAGCTAAACCTCTGACTCACAGGGAACAACTTTTAAATTGTTCTTACAATTCTTATCAATCAGCTGGGTCTGTGGTCTGTGTAAAGGAAACAGAAATACGGAAACCTAATCACTCCCTCTGTGAAAAATCACCATGTCTCCCTGATCTGAGGAAGATCAGATCCTATGAAACCTTTCCTCCAGATTTCCACCATTTCCTGGCTGTTTTATTTTAATCACAAGATTGTTGAGCTGATCTATTACTCCCCGAGTTTCCCTGGCAAGGGAAGGTGCCACTGTTACATGTTCTAGGAAATCCTAGTGGCAAATATTCCCACCATTAGAAACTGATGTTGCAAGCATGCTATTTGCACCCAGAAAAATGACGGGCTTCCTTGGCAAAATGGTTCATCAGATATGCAATAATGACAATAGGCTTGAATAACTGCACACATATTTTAGAACAATTTGTAGTGTTTTTATTGATTTATTTGACCCTCAGTTTAAAAAGGAATAGGAGCTCTGCTGGCACAGTGGTTAAAGCACTCAGTTGTTAACCGAAAGGTTAGTGGTTTGAACCTATCAGCTCTTCTGTGGGAGGAAGATGTGGCAGTCTGCTTCCGTAAAGATTCAGAGCTTCGGAAACCCTGTGGGGCAGTTCTACTCTGTCCTACAGGGTTGCTATGAGTCAGAATTGACTTGATGGCAGTGGGTTTGATTTTTTTGGTTTTAAAAAAGAATGGTATCAGAGCTCAACTTACAAGAGAAATGAGGAAAACTAAAAATGAGCAGGAAGGAGAACAAAACCACTCAGGCTGGTCATTCAGTGAATCCTTTTATGGTTAGAGACTATCTATTTATTATATTCTACTGGGTCATTATTCTTGGAGATAATTCATCTTACAAATAGTCATAGGGTATATCTTCCATCATCAACAAGAAATATGTAGCCTTTATGAGAGAAGTGCTAGCTGTGGAGGTATGAAATGCATTCGTGTTATTTCTTGTCTTCTCTTTTGCTGTGTATAGTTTGAATGCTTTCCTTCCAAGCTTTGCATGATGGAAAAGACCTTATGAGATTTGTATTAACTGGACTATAGAGGAAATTAACCCATACCTGAATAAGCTAGATGACTGCCACATAACTCTCTTTGGTTGGAACTAGCTTCACCAAGAAAATATTTAGGGTATAAAATTGGCAATGAACTTAGTAAAAGAGACCAAAAGATTTAGTCTGCCCATGCAGGTAGGTAGGTAAGGTACCTAAGTAGGTAGGTAAGGTAAGTAAGGTAGCTAAGTAGGTAGGTAAATAGTAAGTATACACACACACAGAGAATCAACTTACTGACTTCTAAATTACGTACCATACAATTTATCCATTTTAAGTGTAGAATGTATTTTTTTTTTTTTTTTTTTGCACAAGAACTTTAGCCTTATAAAGACCAAGAGATGTCATGGAGAACCCCTAGCTGGATGTTGCCATTCAGAGAAACTGAGCCAAGCCATGCAGATGGTCAGTGGTAAAGTCGGGAGGTGATGTCTAGTTTGGAGGCACTAATAAAAACCAGCCTACTGAGTGCGCCATTATAAACAGGAACTTACCCTTGTCGGGGAAACCGAGATTATGTAGTAGCCTGTGTATTACACACAACTGGTGTCTCAGAGAGTGTGGATAAGGAAGTAAAGGGGAAGAATCTTAGGAATAGTGGTATAAAGGAGATGAATGAAGGGTTACAATGAGTGAAGGAATAAGTGTACTGAAGAGTGGACATGCGAGGTGTTCAAGTAATTCTGACCAATCTTAATGTCTGGGTGCTAACAAATAAAATTTATAAATGACCTTTCAACAGCTTCCTCTAGCAACAGGAGCTGTTACTGTCACGTTGATTTTGACATTAAATGTTATGGAATTTTCTTGCTTTAATGAGAAGCAGATCCAATTGGTAAAGTAATGATTTAAGCAATTAAAAGAGTAAAAATGAGAAATAAAGTAACAGTACTCATAATGTTTAACTGAAATAGGCAGGTCTCACTGATTTACTAAGAAAAAGACACGTTTATCTCAAGGTAAAAATAACGAGAAACAATGCTCACTATGAATAACTTTGGTAAGTGGGGAAAAGTCAATCAGTAATATGTCATTTGTTTAAAAATCTGCTTGCATCTGGTTCTCATTTGTCCTCCAGCTGAGAAACCAATGACAACTTCTTTTTATTGCTTGTGGTCAATCAGCAAGTTTATTTCACATGGGATGATCAAATGGCCAGCCTCCCCTAGCTTGAGAAGGTTTGCCTTTCACTTTCAACTTGTTCAATCATCGTTAACTCCGAAAAATATCACATTCCATTTGTGCAATGAAAATTTCACCACCGGTGACCGTTTTGGTGAAGTTTTTGTAGGCTAGGCCCTAAATCTTGCAGAGCACCTCACACGTTCTCAAGGTCATTTGCTTTGTTTCCTCGTTTAATGACAGCTGCCTAAGATCCTGGAGTCTGCTGTGGCTCAGATAGGCAACTTTGAAGAAACCTCTGTGTGTGGGTACATTTCCCTCTCCGAGACCGAAAGGGCTCACCCCGTGATTCAACACACGCACATTATTTGAGAAAAACTATGGTACTCTCATACACAAAGCAGACGTATACACCCTCCTTACTCACACACACACTGAGATTTTTACCAAACAAAAGTAAAGGTCTTCTTTACTGGGGAGACACTTATAAAGTAGACCTCTGGATGGAGGCCATTTGAAAGCAGGGTGTCCTTACTCTGGGAAACCAGCTTCCCTGGAGAGGCTGCAATATCAACTCAGGGAGCCGCCGAAAAGCTTCTGGAAAAGAGAAATTGGCTTCTTTTTACTTTTGCCTTTGGGCTTGAGAAATCTGCATCTCCTTTGTTTATTATTTAATCTTATTTATTATATTTCCCCCTCTGCAGAGAGGGTCTGAAATGTTAAATCCCAACGAATCTGGCATAGGGCCAAATCCCCAATGGGTACTCTACAAATACGGATTTCTGAAAATGGATGTCAAACAGCAAGAAGGCTAAATTAAGAGATCACTTGATCCATAGTCATAAGAAAAGCACAGTCTATTGGACCAAGTCAAATAAATTGTTTGCCTTTTGGCAAATATGTCAGTAGCTAAAATAGGCCCCTAGTACAGGTCTTGATTAAGTTTTCAAGGTCAAAACCAAGAGGCTGTATATACAGAGCTCTGAAAAGCCTTAACAAGTGTCTAGGTGCTAATACACTGCTTAAATAGAAAGTCTCCAAAAGAGGTTTCTAGCTTTAGTTTTAATTCCAGAGTTTCATAATGGGTTAGCTGCTGAAATAAGGGGAAAGTTATGAGCGGGTCTGGATTACAAGTCAATGTCTTTGCCCCTTTCAGCTAGCTCTGCTTGTAATATATCAGAATATTTATTGTTGCCAATATTCAATTTTTAATTGACTACTAGAAGTTGGGAATGGGGGTGTGCAGAAATAGTCTAATTGTATTTTCCAATTCCTCCAGCTAATATAAGACCAGAACCGGGGTTTAAAGAATCATATGCCTCCTAAAACATAAAAGAGAATGTTCTGCTATTTTAAAGGCTGGGTTGACGGCACTACCTTTTAAGAAAAGTAATTCCAATACTAGGTTATTAGCTCAAAAGTTTCCCAGAAGAGTTTTTTTTTTTTTTAACCAAACACTTGCGTATGTGCCAGGTACTCTTTTACGTACTTTATAAATACTAGCTCATTTCATCCTCCTAATAATTCCAACAGGTGAAGTAACTTACCCAAGGTCACAGATCTGAAAGTAGTAGAGCTGGACTCAAAACCAGAAAATCTAGGTCTACATCCATTATACCATTCAGCTATATTTTTTTGTGAAGACCTCTCAGAATATGCAAGCCAAATGCCCATTTATCTGTTACTTCAAGTTGGGCAGATGGTGTCCAAAGAGAAAAATGTTTGATCTATTTCCTCCACTTCACAGGGACAGGGAAACATGTCTCTAAACTTCCCCTTTATCCTCGCACTGGTATCTTACACCCTCTTGTCTCTACCATTACGGAGGTCACTGTTCTACTGCTGGCTCCCGAGTGCTCTGTTTCTGTCTCTCTCTTTCCCGCGCGCGTGCACACACACACACACACACAAACTCAGAGCTATTACCATGCTTCAGTAAAGCTGCACTGGGTTTGTGATCTGGGCATAAAAGCAGACATCATTTGCTCATTAGCGCTAAGTTTTCAGGATGTGCCCCACTTACTGACCTCCACTAACGGCCTGGGTTTGCGCTCGACTGCAAACCTGAAGTGGCAGAGTTCACAGTAGCTGGTGTTTGAGGACGACAGCCAGTGCTCTAGACAGCTCCGATGAATTGTCCCCAAGGTCCCCGTACATTCACATGGAGAGAGCAAGTCCTCTTGGCTGCTGCCTTCGTGGCAGATCCTGCACATCGGTCGATCGTTGAAGGGGCTGCAAGAAAAGGAGGGACACTTGCCAGTCATTGGGCTGGAAACTACCCCCTTGGAATGGCCCTCAAGCTCCGTGTCCTTTGGACCCTCCCCAGTGGGAGCTTCTCAGAATAGACACCTGCTTTAACATCCCTTAGATCTACACTTGCGCTGGGCAGGGGGCAGCCAGTGCTGGGGTCTTGGATCATCTGGAACACTCGTCACTTCTACTTTCACCAACATAAAGAAATGGAAGGTGGCCAATATCAAAGTAGCTGAGTGTGGCCCAGAGCCAAAAGTGAGTGAAAATGGGCAACAAGTTATTTCTGCCTTGAGCATGGATGAAGTTCAGGGAAACTAACAATCAAAAAATTAAAAAGAAAATCCCACATCATTAAGAAAAGATGTGTTTTGAAATGACACCAATTGTAGTTTCCAGACAAAGTGTGTCTTTTCAGCTAGGTCAGGACACTGTTGTATACCCAGAGGTTTGTTTCCTTTCTCCTTCCAACAGCATGGGAGAATAAGAGGAAAGATGTTAACTGTTGGCAAACACCAAAGCTGCCACACACAACAGCAGTAAGTCAGAGCAGGGTCTTCTGTGCTTTCCTAGGGTGCTCTCAGGGATGCCAAAGAAACTAAACACAAAGCAAGCAGTCAGTATGTCCTACTAAGGTGGGCTCAGTCTCAACTTCTGCCTTTAATTTGGGAAAACCACTCTGCATATTTCATGAAGGCATCACAGTGTAGTGGTTCAGGGTGTAGGCTCTGAGGTCCAGTTGTCTGGGCTTGGACCTTAGCTCTGCTGCTTACGAGCTGGAAAACTTTGAGCAAGTAACTTTATCTCTCTGTCCTTCAGATTCCTCATCTCTTAAATGGAAACAAAGAATGATGCCTTCCTGATACAGTAACTGTGAATATTAGAAAAGATCATCCACACTGGAAGCTTAGAATAGGAACTACAACTGGTTGCCATCAACTCGATTCCAACTCATGGTGACCCTATGTGTGTCAGAGTAGAACTGTGCTCCATCGGGTTTTCAATGGCTGGTTTTTCAGAAGTAGATCACCAGGCCTTTCTTCCAAGGTGCCTCTAGGACTAACACATAGTAAACGCCCAGCTAATGTTAGCTATTTTTACTCATGGAAAAACTCAGGCCCAGGAAAATAAAATCACATGGCTCCACATTACATAAGTTGGGGGTCAATGGGGGGATTAAATTGAAGAAGTAGTCTCACTTCTCAATGGATACTGTGTCTTGTGGGAGATCAATAACTCCTTACACTTCTTGTGCTGCTCTTCACTTGGCATTAGATTTTAAAATACGTCATCATTGTATGTGCCAACCCTAGGACCAGCCTCTTTGCCCACCCTGCCCTGCCCTCTAAGGATGACAGTGAGCCAGGCCATCTCCATCGTTCTCTTCAACATCACCTTTGGTTCAAATGGAAACACTGCTGTTTCCCCAAGGTCTTTTGGTGAATGATCCTGGGAATGAGTATAGGCAAATGGGGATTAAAAGAGGAAAGAATCCTCCGCCCCCTTCAACACTTGCCCAAAATACCTACTCATGCTTAGGGGCAGGAAAAGAAAGTTAAGAAAGTTTACAGTCTACGCTTCCCCTTCACTGCTCCTGGCTGCCTTCATTCATACTGAGCCATGCGCACATAAAAGTCTGAAACCTTCTGGAACAAACCTGCAGCCACTGGTGGGTCTCAGTCACCTCGACTACGCAGGCTGTTCTTCCTAACAAACGAGCTGCTGGATGGTGAGGTGACTCACGCACATGACCACCCAGTCTCAGTTGAGATGCGCAGTGCTGCTCACCCAACTCATCATGTTCTGAGTCCCAAACGATTTTTAGAAGTTCTTTGAGAGGTGGAAAAATACATATTACAATTTTTTTCTATTTCTTTTCTTTATGATAGCTGCTCGGATTTAAAGTAGAAGGCGTATGGCCAATGTCTATACCCTGCATGGGCGTGTGACTGCGTGTCTGAGGGCCACCATCTTGTCCAGCCCTGGCTGGGGGCAGCAAGAAATGCTGTGGTGCCACCAGAAGATCTGCTGCAGGTACAGGTACAAACCCGTGGGCCTGCATCTGCACCAGAGGGTTGGAGCGAATCACTCAGACCGGGGTCAACTGTTAAGGTTTCAGGGTTGGAAGTGTCATACACCAGGGGACAAGTCCAGTGTTGATATGCATTTTACATTCACATTGTTAAATTCTCACTTACCCATTCTGAAAGAAGGCTGGAGAAGTCAAGGAGAACCCAGCAGCAAGAAGAGTTTTGGCTCTCAATCTGCCGCTGGCCAACAACAGCACAAGAGAAGACCCCTGGGGACAAAGTCCCAGCCCTGTCCCTGCTGTTCAGAGCCTTTACTTTGTTTTGGTTCATCACTCAGGGAAGATGCACTGTGGCCAACAGCACTTCATAGGGTGGGGAGGAGGGGTCGCGGATGGAGGTCCAAGGGGAGTAAAGGAGGGAACAAAAGAAGATGCCCCCAAGTGAGGATGTGCCAGAGAAGAAGCATCAGCACTGTCCAGGCAGCAGCCTGGTACGGTGCTTCCCATCAGGTGGGGCTGATCAGCATGCAGACCAGGAATGTCACTTCAAAATTTCTGATCACAGATCAAAATCACTGTGGCTTAAACACCTGAATTCAGGTTGCTTCTTCATTCTGTTCTAACAAAGGTAGCCCTTTGTAGGCACTTGGAGACAACAAGAGCGTAATTACCATAGCAATGTCAAAATAACAAATGTAAAGCAAACAACCTCATGTCTTGTGGGATCCTTCCCTGCCTGGCTCTCTGCAAGTATGACTTTAAGCAGGAAACTAGACAACATGAATTTTAGCTTTATACCCCATTGCTATAGAAACGATGACAGAACTGTGTAGTCCCTTCTTTTTCCTTTTTTCTCCCCAGCACCTCCTCTTGCCTGACACAAAGACCTGAAGCACTAATTACATCCCCTTTAGCAGTTTCCACCTGACAAAGAGTTCTCCAGATCAATTACAGATTCATTTATTTTAATTGTGGTACTACCTCTGGGTGGCAAGAGTCCGCACTACCGTTGACAGCAGCTGCCCGTCTTTGGCCGAAACTTGCATGACATACTGTGGCTGCCCATTCACTAGGCTGCCACAATCCTCCACGGTCTTCACCACGGGCACAGCCGAGCTGGTGCAGTCTGGCAGGACTTCGGGCAGGTGACTGCAGCGGCTGGTTGTCATGGTAACATACAGCAATTACTCTGCTAATGGCTTCCACATTCATACAGGATTTCCATCTAAGAGAGATCAGAAAATAGGGGAATGGGTACATGTATGTCTTGTACCTTGAAACAGTTTATAATTTTAAAGTAGTTTCATAAAAAAAGAATAACTAGTCCTGGTGATTCAAGGACCCAAGTCTTAAAAAAATCAAAATATTGTCTGTCTCCCCCCTCAACCCCAACAGAACTTTTGGAATTCCTCAAAGGGTTGTTTTCCCCCACATATTTGTCGCTACTTATTATGTTTTACTTGATCCCTAGAGGTCTGGAAAACAGGACCTTCCCAACTCCCAGCACATGGCAGACAATGTGCATGGACTAGGCGTTCTCAGGGTGAGACACCAGTGTTTCTGGATGAACTTGAGTTGACACTTTCTGTCCCAATAATTGTATGTCAAGCAGGCTTGACTGTCCGGGACAACTGGATGTGAGTGTAATCCCCTCCTTGCTGCTGAGGTGTCTGGCTGGCCTTGCTCCAGCACCCTTTCTTCCCCTGTATTCCTTGGCTGCCATGAGTACTCTCAGGTCTGTGGTCTGCCCTGTGAAGCAGTCCCCACTGCAGACACGAGCCCTTGCCTAAGGCCTCGCGAGGGGGCCAGGGCTGCCCCTTCCATGCTACTGTCACAACCCTGGTGAGATTCTTAACCCGAAAGTACTGAGCATTCGAGGAACACAATTAGACAGTGAGCTAGTAGAGTTTTGTTTTTAAAATAGATTTGTTGTGTATTTTTTTTTTTAAAAAAAGCCAGAAATGCATATTATAGAAAATACAGAAAAGCACAAAGAAAACAATAAAATCATAATCCCACTACTTGGATAATATAGTCAACGTTTTGGGTGGATGCCTTTTTATTTTTTGGCAGGGTTGGCAGGGTGGAGTTGAGTTGTAGCTGGGGCCAGATAGCTCTTTTTTATTTTATTTATTTATTTTTAACTGCATTATGGTAGCTCTCAGGCGACAGAACAAAAGGATGTTAAAAAGACCAATCTCTACTAAAACTGTGTCTAACCCCCTCCTCTGGTCTGCCCTTACAAAACCCCACTGGCATGATTTTAAATTCTCATAATGCCTCACAGTCACAGAGTGTAACTTACTGGCACAGTGCTCTTGCTTCACAAGGCAGCCATAGATTAAGAGCCAGGGGTGTGCTGGCAGGAAAAGCAGACACAGTGACCTTCTTGCCACATGGAATGATGATGTCTGGGTGTACTCTGAGAGTCTATTTTCGAGTTTTGCATAACTCCAACTCAGAGGGCCAAATGCTCCTTCCCTACACTAGATGGAACTAGGAGGGTGTACAGGGAGTATATAAATCGGTCTGGGGGGTCAGGCACATCACACCCCCAATTCACCTGTAACCTAGGTTAAGTCCTCATTAAAGGAAGTAGTTGTAAATGAATGATCTACAGATCAGCAATAAAATACCCTTAAAAAATTCTAAAAGCAGCATTTCCCTTAAATTCATTTTATATCTGTAATTTCATTTCTGGATGATATAATTCATTTCACTTCTGTTCTCAAAGGCAAAAGAGATATTATCACTTTATTCCATTTACAACTGGTGCCAAGTGCAGAGTTTGGCATAGAGGAGTAAAAGGTGGCTCTACCTTTCCTTCTTCTACAAGCAAGCCCTGGATGTTTCTTTGTATTTATTTATTTTTATTGTACTTTAGATGAAGGTTTACAGAACAAACTAGTTTCTCATTAAACAGTTAGTACACATATTGTTTTATGACAATGGTTAACAACCCCACAACATGTCAACACTCTCCCTTCTTGACCTTGGGTGCCCTATGACCAGCTCTCCTGTCCCCTCCTGCCTTCTAGTCCTTGTCCCTCGACTGTTGTGCCCCTTTAGTCTCGTTTTGTTTTACGGGCCTGTCTAATCTTTGGCTGAAGGGTGAACCTCAGGAGTGACTTCATTACTGAGCTAAAAGGGTGTCCGGGGGCCATACCTGCGGGGTTTTTCCAGTTTCTGTCAGGCCAGTAAGTCTGGTCTTTTTTTGTGAGTTAGAATTTTGTTCTGTATTTTTCTCCAGCTCTGTCCGGGATCCTCTATTGTGATCCCTGTCAGAGCAGTCAGTGGTGGTAGCTAGGCACCATCTAGTTGTACTGAACTCAGTCTGGTGAAGGCCGTGGTAGATGTGGTCCATTAGTCCTCTAGATTAATCTTTTCCTTGTATCTTTAGTTTTCTTGATTCTCCCTTGCTCCCGAAGGGGTGAGACCAGTGGAGAATCTTAGATGGACGCTCACAGGCTTTTAAGATCCCAGACGCTACTCACCAAGGTAGAATGCAGAATATTTTCTCTATAAACTATGTTATGCCAATTGAGCTAGATGTTCCGAGGCCATGATCCCCACAGACCTCAGCCCAGCAATTCGGTCCCTCAGAAACCCTGGCTCTTTCTCTTGTGCCATCTCTGCAGAACTCTTCACTCGAGATCTTCTCAGACCTCATCCAACTTAAAAAACAGACAAACAAACCAGTGGCCCACCAGTAGACTCCGACTCACAGTGACCTCAGGTGCTTCAGAGTAGGAATGTGCTCCACAGAATTTTCAAGGCTCTGATCTTTTGTAAGTAGATGGCCAGGCCTTTCTTCTGAGGTGCCTCTGGGTGGATCTGAACCACTAACCTTTTGGTTAGGAGATGACCACTTAACCATTTGCACCAACCAGGGATTCCCACTCAATTTAAGATCTGCTTAAAATGATATTCTAGTCCAATATTCACTGAAGAATGTACCAGCATGTCCACTGAACACTGCACACCAGAGTAAGAAATACTGTCAGCAGACAAACCTGACAAGTCCAGCAGCTAATATCAGGATCCCAACAATCCTAAAAGACCATGCCTTGAATTGCAAGTGGGGTGGAAGGGGTTACACACAGCATGAGCACTTTGGATTATGGTGGGGATGGCTAAATTGGTCCCAAATTCACAAGAATAGATCTAAATCACCTGCGCAGGTAGAGAAGGAGGGAAGGGAGAACGGTCTCCGTGATCTCAGTGGAAAGGAAACCCAGAGGCCTACATTGAGGTGGCAGAAGCGGGTCTAGCAGGCTTATGCACCAGTTGGCATGCATATGTTGCACCTGGGGCAGTGACAAATGGCCCACTGCATTTCCTTGTCTCATTCTGAGCCACCTGGGAAAACAGGAGGCTGTTGCTGTGGATGCTAGAAAGAGCTGAGCTGTCGGTTTGCAGCCTAGCACTGGTCTTCCACTGATTTTTCTGCAAAATTTCAAGTACCATTCAACTGTTTATCAATACCAGTGTCCTGCTTTTGTGGGAAAGTAGCTTCCTAATGCACCCAAGACTCTGAGATCTCGGCTTTCTCTAGACAAAACCATAATGCTGAGGAAGAGTGGTGTTTGTATAAACTTGAAATTTCAAGTTGCACTGGTAAGATAGGTCCTTTGTTGGCCAGGCTTGACACCTTGTACAATTTCCTTCACAGGCTGAGAATAAATGATTTGGTGCTGGCCAAATTCAGATGCACAAGGTGGGAAGAGTGGGAGTAGGTGGCCCAGAGGGAGATGGCGAAAATGGAGGGAGGGGCTAAATAAATGAAAGCCTGATTAGAGAATTGTTAAAATGAAGAGTTTGTCTGTAAAGCTATGACCCCTGCAAAGGACAGAGTGCAGGTTTTACAAAGCGGGAGACCAACCATGCTGTAGCTAAGCGTTGCTGTTTCTGGAACAGGGTGTCATTGTAAATGATTTCCATGGGAACATGGCTGGCATCATGAGGACACATCCACAGACCATGGGGGAAGGGCAGGAACACAAGCCCTGCCCACCTCTGCAGCCCCTTCCCGAATCTCTCTAACCATCATGGGGTTGCAGGCAAAAGCTCTGTTCTGAGAGGCGGTACACCCAAGCTTGTGTCCTGGCTCACCACCGACCAGGATAAATCACCTAGCCTCTCAGACTTGTACTTCCTGCATATTTGAAATTATGGCGCTCATAGTTCCTGAGTTACCTCATCTGGTTGGTTGTGAGGCCTAAAATGAGATAATACATGTGAATGTGCTTTGTGAATTGGAACGTGCCATACACAGATCAGGCAGCATTTTATTATTACATTATTTTTAATTTCTGATCTTTCTGTAGCCTGTGCACCATCCCATTTCTGTCTAGAAATGCTTCTAAAATCGTCCTCCCCTTTGGCTAGTCAGCCAATAACAGGCTGCACTTTTGTATTACATTTGAACTTGACCTCTGACACTGCACTACTGCATCCCTCTTGGCTGGGAAGCACAAAGAGCCTCTTTCTTGCACACCAACTTCTCATTCTCCCTAGCCCCGTCTCCTTCAGATCCCTGAAGACAGGTTTCAGTCTTCCATGAAAATATTTAGTAAAGATATATAATGAAAAACACCGTTATGTTTGAGATACTTATCAGAGTACCTTGATACTTGTTACAAGTATACTTGATGCTATTTGTTAACAGCAGTTACCATTACTTAGCTAATGGAGCATGCCCTAAATATACTAGAAAATAAAGCACAAAACCCATTGCTATCGAGTATATTTCTGGCTCATAGTGACCCTACAGGACAGAGTAGAACTGCCCCAAAGGGTTTCCAAGGCTATAAATCTTTACTGAAGTGGACTGCCATATCTCTCTCCCACAGGGTGGCTGGTGGGTTTGAATCACCAACCTTTTGGTTAGCAGCTGAGTGTTTTAATTGCTGCACCACCAGGGCTCCTTAGAAAATAAAGCACAGGCCCCTCCCAAGTCCCTTTTTAGGCCTATTTGTATCAGAACTGTATTTTCAGTGCCAAGTCAACTTTAATCTCTTAGATGGAGGACTAGAAGCTGTTGGGGGAGAAATCTGTTATTTTGGCATGTCTGTTTGGGCATAGAAATTACTCACAAGAACAAAGGAGTGTGTTGTGCCCTAGCTGGCATGAACCTGGTCATGTGAGCTGCCTGGGCAGTGGTCTGAGCAGGCCCAAGCTTGGAGGGCAGTCTGGAGCAAGGCTGGACCTCCCAATTCAGTCCTA